CAAGTTTAACTACATGAATTGTATCCTTGGAACCCATGTAAAGGTAGGCATGTGAACACATAAAGGTAGGAGAGAATGGACTTCCCACTGCCCTCTGACCTCCACAGGTGCACTCCATAGAAGCACACAACAATAATAAAATCACAGACTTCACATTGCCCTCTGACCTCCACAGGTGCACTCCATACAAGCAAACAATAATAAAATCAGAGACGTCACACTTCCCTCTGACCTCCACAGGTGCGCACACACCCACCACACAAGCACACAATAATAATAAAAGCACGGCTCAAGTTTTCATTGCAAAATTTTGGAAACTCTGTAGTTACCTGATTTAGGTAAGGAGTGAAATTTGTGTACACAGTGCTGGTCAGTCAAACTCCTCTCTTCACAGAGCTGATGGCCATTGCTCCAAAATTTGTAGCAGTCCTCGTGTAATTGCATGGCATATTTGTGAAAGGCTGGCCCTCTAGCATGTTGACTGTATACTCGAAGAGCCTGAGCAAGCTGATTCTTATGGACTGTCATGGTGTAATTATGAGGCAAGTTCGATTGGTAGGCACTATGAGCCATGGGTAAAGCTTTTTGGCACCTGTTTTCTGAAAATTTTGTGTCTATGTCCAAAAACCCTTCTAAGACTTTAATACTGCTTAAAATCTTAGAGGTTAGCTCCCCAGTGGGTGAGCTCAAGTCTTCTTCCTTCCCATCAATAGCCACTTCATACAGTTTTGCAGCTGCTGAGATCCACTTCTGGTAAGTGGGAAGTTCAAAATGGGAGGGCTGTGGGTTCCTGCCCACACTGTCATCAAAACCTTTTTTGCTTAGGACAAGCTCCACGTGCTGCCATAGGAATTCTCGAAGAGTAAAATCTACTAGCTGGCCGGAAGAACTAGACGTGCTGCTATCAACGTGGAAGGAGAGCTGTTGTCGGCTGTGTTGTCTCATCACTTGATACCGCCTGGGTCCAGAGAGGGGTGCAGGCACCAACAAAGATTCAGGGTCCTTCACAGTACAATGACTCCTAAGTTGGTCCAGCAACATGCCGATTGGGTCCTCCTCCTGGCTTCCGGGGACTATGTACACAAAAGCTTGGTTCGCAGGTACCGTAAAGAGGCAGTTGATACTCTGATTAGTCAAGACCCGACTCTTGCGGAAGATTCGGTAGATCTGGTCCTCCAGGGCATGCTGCAGTCTTCTTTTGGGGGAATGCTTCTTGGGCTTATCTGGATGAGCTGTATCTTGGCTCCGAGGGGGTTCCACCTTGAGGGCTCCATTAAGTTGAAAGAGGAAAAGGAGTCTAGGTGGACAAGGTCGGCAGTTTAACTTCCAGTCTTTGCCAACTGGACAATCCTTAATGGCTGTTTTGAGGAGGGGCAGTACTTTCTGTCTCAGCCCATCCAGGGCTCTGAATACTCGGTCATAAGTGATGTCAAAGGAACAAGTCGGATGGACCAGGAGCAATATATGACAGACAGAGAAAAGGTAAAGGAGACTGAGACACTGCAACTTCTCCTGATGCTTCCAGAACTCATGTGTTTCCGCATGAGGTAAAGAGAGGCCTCCACCAGCTTCTCCGCTCTGGAGAGCCCGACAAGCACGCAGAAGCTGTGAATTGTCACAGATGGAAGTGAGAATAAGATACAGAACTTTGCTTTCCTGGTTGTAATAAGCCTGCAGAAGGCTAAAGTCCTGGGGACCTGGCTCAGCTCGGTTACCTTCCGCCGTAGCCATACCTCCACGAAGTGAATCCCCGGCGGCAGCCCCCGGATCCCCGGCTCCTCCGGCCTCTCCGACGGAGACAGCTTCCGTCTTGATTCCAGGCCCCGGATCCCCAGGATCCTGGTGGTGAAAGAGAGGGAAAACCTGCCGGTCGCACACAGTGTTCACCAGAGAGAACTTCTCGGAGTTCAGGCGCAGAGCCGTCTTGCCGAAGATTCCCACCACGCAGATCTCATCCTCCCTCCACGGAGGCTCGGGCGCGCCAGTCGCGTTCCCTCCGCCCTCAGCGGGGGGAGCTCCGGGACTCTCAGAGCCCAGCCAGGCCGACGCTCCCATGAGAAGCTCTCGCAAGCTGACCGGTCCCGCCATGGCGGAGAATGAGCTTCCTCCGGCGTCCTTCCGGTCCCTAGCTAATCCCATCCGACTCGGTCCTCTTGTGAAAAACCTCCTCCGCACATCAGCCCCTGCTTTTCTCTCACTTTAGTTCCGGTGTCTGTCCTCGGTCGTCGTGCCCCGTCTCTCCCCCGCGGCGCGTGCCCTTTCTAGTGTCCTGCCAAGGTCTTAGCACTACATTTGCCCAATTCGAGACTATAGGGATTGTGATGTCAAAAACTAGATTGGATGTAGTTTGCATTTTAAAGAATACGTAAAAAAAATCCAACTGATAATTCTAACAGCTCAGCGTGGGTGGTTGCTTATATTCCCACCTTCTCTTGAGGCTGAGGCAGGAGGATTCCTTTGTTTGCTTTTCGAGACAGGGTTTCTCCTTGTAGCCCTGGCTGTCCTGGAACTCACTCTGTAGACCAGGCTGCCTCTGCCTCCCAAGCGCTGGGATTAAAGCGCTGCCCTCCGAGTGATGGGTAACATGCCAAGACCCTGTCTCAATAGAGAAAGGGGGAGGGAGGAGGGAGAGGAAAGAGACAGAGGCACAGTACCAGAGACGCAGAGACAGAGAAAGAAGATAGCAAAGCATATTGGCACACTTTCGTAGTCCCAACATTCATGATGGTGAGGCAGGAGTGCCTTGAGTTCAAAACCAGTCTTGACTACAGAGTTAGGTGTTCATTCCAAAATAGGGGTAGAGGGGCCAAAGAGACGGATCAGTGATTGAGATCAGGTACTGCTCTGGCAGCAAAGAGGAGCTCTGTCTTTAAAGAGTTATTTATTAAGCTGGGCATTGGTGGCGCACGCCTTTAATCCCAGCACTAGGGAAGCAGAGGCTAGGCGGATCTCTGTGAGTTCGAGGCCAGCCTAGAGCGAGTTCCAGAACAGCCTCCAAAGTCACAGAGAAACCCTGTCTCGAAAAAAACAAAACATTTATTTTATTTGTATAATTCTTTTATTAATTTATTTATGTATGTATGTAAATGCGCATAGTGTGGTGTGTGTTTTTGAGTGTGTGTGTGTGTGTGTGTGTGTGTGTGTTGTGTGCGCGCGCACGCGCGCGAGTGTTTGTGTAGTAAATATGCATGCCATGGCTAACACAGAAGTCAAAGGACTACTTTTGGAAGCTGGTTCTCTCCTTCTATCATGTAAGATCCCAGGATGGAATTCGAGTCATCAGGCTTGGGCTGGAGAGATAGCTCAGCAGTTAAGATAACTTGCTGCTTATGCAGAGGACCAGGTTCAGTTCCCGGCATTACATCAGGTGGCTCCTAATCACCCTTAGCTCCAGATAAGGATCAGAAACCCTCTCTGGCCTTCCTAGTCACTAGGCATACACATACCTACAAGTAGACACCCATACATGCACATAAAAACACTAAAAATACAAACAAGACAAAAGTTGTCAGTCACTTGGTGGTGGCCCACACATTTAGTCCCAGCACTAGGCAGGTAGAGGCAGGCTGATCTCTATGAGTTTGAGGCTAACCTGATCTACAGAGTGAGTTCCAAGAGAGCCAGGGCCACAGAGTGAAACCCTGTCTAACCAAACCAAACCAAACCAAATAACAAAAGCCAAAAGTTGTCAGACTTGGTGGCAAGCACTTTACCCACTGAGTTATTTCAATGACCCCAATCTTTTTTTTCCATGAGTCCTTGGCTTATACTTTTTAGTTGTTACTGTTTTTTGAGACGTGGTCTCATACAACTCATGCCAGTCTTGAAATTGGTATGTAGCTGAGGATGACATTGAGTTTCTGATTAATCTTCCTATTACAACTTCCTAGAGGTATGCAATATCATTCCTGGCTTTTATTAGATGCTAGAGATCAAATCCAGGGCTTTGTTCATGGTCTACCAACTGAGTTCATCCCAAGCCCCAGTACCCCCCCCCCCCCCTGCAATGCTGAGATTAAAGGCATTTTTTATCATGCCCAGGTCTTCTCTTAAACAAACAAGACAAAACGACTTTTATTTGTTATTGTTATGTGGAGAATCATGTCATACTAACCATGTGGGGGGTCTGCTGTGGAATAAAGACATCAAGCATAGATAATAAATATGAGTTAATTTAAATGTAAGAGTTAGCTAGTAAGCCGAAGATGAAACAGAAGAAAGGGGCGGCCATATGAGCGCCCCTCACTCTTAAACCTTCCCTATGTCACCCTGACACGCCCTCACAGGCGTGGCTACAGTGTGCCCTACAATTCTCCTTTTAGACTAAAAGAGGATTAAAACTTAACAGTGTAAAGTATCCAAAATTAACAATAATAAAGGTGAAATAAAAGAAGATTAAAAAAAAAGGAGTTAGCTAGTAACAAGCCTGAGCTATTAGCCCAGCATTTATAGTGAATATTAAGCCTCTGTGTGGTTACTTGGGAGTGGCTTGCAGGACAGAAACTTTCACCTACAGAGGTCAGAGGACAACACTGTGGAACTGATTCTCTCCATCCGCCTTTACGTGGGATCCAGGAATTAAACTCAGGTCTACCAGGCTTGCTAAGCAATCACCTTTAGCTGCTGAACCATCTCACCAGCCCCTGTCCTTTATGTGCTATAGTTCTTTTTCTTTTTGTTTTGTTTTATTTTGTTTTTCAAGGTAGGGTTTCTTTGTGTAGCCCTGGCTGTTTTGGAACTCGTGATGAAGACCAGGCTGGCCTTGAACTCACAGAGCTCCAACAGCCTCTGCCTCCCCAGTGCTGGTATTAAAGTAGTGTGTGCCACCACTACTAAAGTCAAAATTATTTTTTTTAAGTTTAAAATGTTATGTGAAGGTTTGTGACTTTAATTCCAGCACTCCAGAGGCAGAAGCAGGTAAATCTTTGTGAATAAGGAGCTCCAAGCCAGTCAAGGCTACATAGTGAGACCCAGTCTCAAAACAAGCAAAACAACATAAATACTGGGAGCATATAAGCAGTAGTTTAATGAAATTATACAACATGCAGAGTACTCAGATGGTTACAATGAAAACGCATATAAATTCTAAAATAAAAATTAGTAAACAATTTAAAGTAGGGTACATTTTAACACTGATACAACAGCAATAGCAGCTTCGTAAATGTTTTGCCTATAAAACTTCTATTTTTTGAGACAGGTTCTCACCAAGTCGCTCAGGCTGACTGCTGGCCTTGAACTGACATTTCCCTCCATCTCAGTCTTCCAAGTAGCTGGGACAAATGTAAAAAGCCACTATGTCCAGCCTAGCTTTTTTTTTTTTTTTTTTTTAATTAAGTGAACCTTCTATGTCATAGGAATGATTATGTTATTTCAGTTACAATGGTAAAATGTATATTGGTTTATTAATATTGTAAACATTACAAGTGCCCCACAAAATACCATTCTATTATGAATCCTTTATTTTCAGTGATATTTCCCTTATTTTTATATAATATCAAACTAGCTAACATATTTCCAAAAAGTTCTGCTGGACTTAGTGGTACATGCCTTAATCCCAGCATTCAATAAGTAGAGGATCAAAAGTTCCAGGACATCCTAGCTAAATAGTTCTGAGACAGAGTTAGCTACATGAAAACCTGTTTCAGCAAACAACAAACAAACAAACATACAACCGTCTAGCAGGTTCTAGATATATTATGTTTTCTGTATTATAAACATAAATGTAGATCTCATAAACAGGACCGCCTCAAGGTGCTAAACTCTGTCCCCAAGACTACTTTCTAGTCTGGTGACTTTCTGACAACATGATTTGGCATCTCAAAGTACTGTCATTTGATGGCAATACAGGGATTTGACCTGGAGCTATAACTCAGTGATAGGGTTTCTTACCTACCATGTGCAAGGCCCTGGTTCAATCCTCAGAACCAAAAAAATAAATAAATAAAAAATAAAAAAATAAACAAACCCTGCAGGAATTTTTAGGGGACCATGAAATTACCTTTTGAGGTATAGTGAACTGGAAGATTAAAATTTTAAGGCTGTTATCTGTGTGACTGCTTCCTATCAGACTAGAAAGTTCAGTGAATATCTGAAATCTTTGGGGTTTTTTGTTTTGTTTTGTTTTTAATGTATAAGGAGGCCATTACCTTGAGTTTTTTTTAGATTTATATTTAGATTTATTATTTATATAATTAACTATTAAGTTACTCTTCTAGTTGCTGTGATGAAATAACTGAAAATATCAATTTAAGGAGGGAAGGTTTTGTTTGGTTTATAGTTCCACCATTCACTACACATGGAGAGAGGGGACCAAGATAGCAGGAGCCTGAAGCAGCAGGTCACATTGAATGCACAGTGAAGAAGATTTCAACTTAGGGGATGGTGCTACCCACAGAGTGTAGGTTAGCCCATCTCAATTAGCCTAATCCAGATAATGTTTGAGAAAGCCCATCTCGAAGGTGATTACAGACAACCAGAAATAGACAACTGAGATTAACATCGTGTGTGTGTGTGTGTGTGTGTGTGTGTGTGTGTGTTAGTACTAGGCATTAAACCCAGGGCCATGAACATTCTAGACAAGTACTATATTCCTGAACTCCCTGCAAAGACCTAAATACATTTTTTTTAAATGTAAGTGTTCCTTGTTCACTATTAAGGAGATATTTCTGAAATTCAAATTTAATAGAGTATCTTATATTCTTATTTCCTAAATCTGGCAACTCTAGACTGGCAAGAATGAATGAAGTCCAGTGAAAGATATAACACTACTGCCAGAGAATACACAGGCTGATGAGGAACAGGAAACGGGCTTCTTTATAAAACTGCCATGGACCACAGAGAATCCTTGGCAAGGCATTCTGGAAAACAGAAGCTTCATGCTGAAATCATGAAAATTGTATTTGACCCCAGGAAAATGGACAGCAGACATAAATAGTAAGGGATACCAGGCTGAGGGTGTGACTCAGGGTGCATGTACTTAGCATGTGTGAAGCCCTTGGGTCCAGCCCAAAAAAAAGAAGGAAGAAGGAGGAGGAAGAAGGAGGAGGAGGAGGAGGAAGAAGAAGAAGAAGAAGAAGAAGAAGAAGAAGAAGAAGAAGAAGTCTCAGTAACCAGAAAAAACAACCTACCAAAGTTGCTAAGTCATTTTAGCAGTATGCAATTACCTTCTAGCCAGATGTGGTGGCTCACACCTGTAGTCCCAGAATGTCCATCCTGGGCTATAACATAAGACTCTATTTCAAGCAAACACAGGGTCTGTTTGAAATTTTCAGGTCACATTGATTTTTGTTTTGTTTTTCTCTAAATTACTTGTTTATTTTAAGACAGGATCTCACTGTATAGTTCTGGTTGATCTGGAACTTGCTATATAGATCAGACTGGCTTCAAACTCCCAGAGAGATCTTTGGGCTTCTGCCTTCTAAGTGCCGGGATTGAATGCATGTGTCACCACGCCCAATTAGAGAGTCTTATTTTATGGATCAAGTTTGTAGCAATGGATGAATCAGCCTGAGAGGAACAGGAACCAGGCTATGCTCTTTATTTTCTTTTCAAAATTTTGTATTTTTAGTTACATGTTTTTGTGTATCTGTACATATGAGTGCAGGTACCCATCTAGGCCAGAAGAGGGCAGTGAATTTCCTGGATCTGGAACTATAGACATCTGTAAGCCACTTGAAGTGAGTGCTAGAACCAGAACTTGCGTCCTCTGCAAAAGAAGCAAGTGCTCTTAACTCCTGAGCCATTTTCTCTAGTATCCACACTATTTTCTTAATGTCATAACTATATTTATATAAAAGCTAGTTATACCATTAGTATTTTTAACATATTTATTATTTTGTGTGTGTGTGTGTGTGTGTGTGCATGTGGAGGTCAGAGGACAACGGGTGGAAGTCAGTCCTTTCTTCCCTCCATTTGTGTCCTGGGAACTGAACTTGGGCCATGAAGCTTGGTGGCAAGTGCCTTTATCCATTGAACCGTATCACCAGCCCCTGTGGAATTAAATCTGAACAGCCACTCTAACCGAAAATGGGTAATTCCAGGATAAACATTTTCTTTGCAGACTGCATCTTCCCATCTGGTTCCCTTACCATCACGACCATCAGAAAATATCTAAATGCTCTCATTATGCCACAGTTTGTGTAGGTTCCATACATACTCACTCTGATTCTTCAAGTAGAATTACATTCGTAGAGCTATACATATTTTAGTACATTAAAATTGAGGGGTTTGATCAGTCATTGTATGGATCCCTCCACAGAGTCAGGCAGAGTCGGCCTCAGTTTTGTTCATCAAAGCTGCTTGTAGAAAGTGGCAGAGACTGAGTAGGGCTTTGAGGGTGAGCCAGCTACAACAAAGAAAGTCACAGTTATAACATGAGTGATGTCCCCATGACCAACTCAGGTCTTCTTCCTCATTAACAAAGCCTTGATGCTCTTTGCAAGGCATCACTGCAGTCCTTGTTACCTCCTCAGCTTTCCTGATACAAGCAGAAGCTGACAAACCCCTTGTCCTTGGTCTTTCTCTTTTGGCCTGAGATTTGAATATATGTCTACAGGAATCACTGCCATTGTGCACCATAAGGATAAAAGCCATGCATTACGAATGGAAGAGATTGTGAAATGGTGGCTCATGTCTGGAATCCCAATACTTGGCAGTCTGAGGCTGGACTACATAGTGAGATTCTGGCTCAAAACCAAAACCAAACAACCAACCAAACAACAGTAAAGGACTAAAGAGCAGGAAGGACATGATAAAACAGCTGCACTAGCTGTGGACTTCCTATTTCCCAAAGGAATGTTCAGCTGAGAAATGAATTCCAGCCGGGGTCAGCCAGAGTTATAAGACTGGCTAAGAAAAAAAAACAAAAAAAACAAAAAAAGAAAATGAATTACAGTGGTTGGAGATTTAGTTCAAAGTAAAGTCCTTGCTGAGCAATTGTAAGGTCCTCAGCTTGAAAAAGGAAAAAAAAAAAAAAAAAAAAAAAGCTGAGGAGTGGAGACACATGCCTTTAATCCCAGTGCTCGGAGGTGGAGATAGGCGGATCTCTGTGAATTTGAGGCCAGCCTGGTCTCCGGACCAGGGCTACACAAAGAAATCCTGTGTCGACAAACAAAACAAAACAAAACAAAACAAAACAAAACAAAACAAAAAGACAAACTTCCAAGAAAAATTAGTTCATTCTTGGGGGTAGGGGTATATTTATAGCTATCCACCTGCCCAACACCCAGCTATTATGTGTGTGTGTGTGTGTGTGTGTGTGTGTGTGTGTGTGTGTGTATGAAATGATATTTTGATTAAGCCCCTCTGTGGTCAAATCAGTGTCACCTGTGGCTGGGCACAAACTCTAGGTAGACTTGCTTTACAGTTAATGGAAGCATAAGGGCTGAGTGGGAAAAATTGTTCTTTAACAATTTTACTACATTTCTTCCTACTAAGTGGATTTTTGGTAACACAACATATGGCAAAATTTCATATGTGATTTTGCTGTTGTACAACATGTGGGTTTATTATTATTATTATTATATTTTCATGCGTTTCTATGGTTCCTGGTACACAGTACTAGCTATTGTGTGGGGGCAAGGGCAACAAGGGTCCTATTGTTAACAGAGAAAGGAAGTGGCAAAGGCCTTCTGTGAGGCCTCTTCCCTTTATCTCAGGAGTCTGTGGTACTTCTGCCCACCGGAAGAAGGAACCACGGTGTTCAAAGCCACAAAGGCCAGCAACCAAGTCCCAGCATCCCAGCAGGGGAGGCAGGAGATGGCTTCTCTTTGGAGCCAGAAATACAGGAAATCAGGAATACTAAGACAAAAAGGTGTGGAAATGAGATCAGGACCAACCACTCTTCTTGTTTTTTCATGGGGCTCATCAAGCAGGAGATGATGGAGAAAGCTGTCCAATGGTTTCCTGTTAACAGCGCACAGCACAGCCAGACTCACATTTCCATCCTGTCTGTCACCTATCAAGCTCCCGCTCTAGAGACACCACATTGTCACTTTTCAGTTTGTCATATAGGCCATTATGCCTCTCAGTATGGGACACTTACACATACATGCTGTTCTTTTGTTGCCTAGATTTCTCCTCTCTTGACATTTATGATAGGATAACCCTTTCCTTGTTAATTCCTATTCATTCTTTTTTTTTGGGGGGGGGGGGTTGAGACAGGGTTTCTCAGTGGCTTTGAGGCTGTCCTGGAACTAGCTCTTGTAGACCAGGCTGGGCTGGAACTCTGACATCCACCTGCTTCGGCCTCCTGAGTGCTGGGATTAAAGTTGTTGTGACACTACCACCCGGCAAACAATATGCACTGCTAACCACTGAGCCACCTCTCTGGCCCCTATTATTATTAATTATTATTTTTACTAAGATAGTTATTTTAGGTAGTGGGGCATGCCTATTATTCTAAAATTAGGTAAGTTGAGTCAGGAAGATTATATACTTGACATCAGTCTGGTGGGGGTACATAGTGGGACCCTCTTTCAAAATATATAAAAAATATTTTAGACTGTGATTCTAAATAAATTAGCTTATTTTCTCTCCCTCCTTCCCTCCAGTGCTTGGCACTGAGCCAGGCCCTCATGCATGCTGGGCTACACTCTCAGCACTTACATAAATTATTGTTCAGGACTTAGTTTGGGTTTCAGGTTTTCCACAGACTTACCTGAAACTTTCTCCTTAAGGCCCGAGTCATGACTGGAGTCAGTCCAGTTCCTGTTTCCATATTTTCTTTATTGGTGAGAGGGGTTCCACCTGGGCTCCTATAAAAGTGCAAAAAAAGATCAGAGCTGTGTTTTATCCCCATTTTTTGAGCTGACTTGGAAAGTATAGGGATAAGAGACTGTTACCTGTCTACATTGACTTTTCTCAGCAGCTTCCGCAGATCTAGTTGGCTTTTACCCGGAGTACTGAGGATAAAGACATAAAAATAAAACTCTCCAGATTTCACCACTTTTCCAAAAACAGGTCAATTTTATAGGCAAGTTCCTAGAAAGTTGTTCTTTTTGTCACACTAAGAAAACAGAAGCTGGGTAGTGGTGGCACATGCCTTTAATCCCAGCGCTTGGGAGGCAGAGGCAGGCAGATCTCTGTGAGTTCAAGGCCAGCCTGGTCTATAAAATGAGTTCCAAGTCAGTCATGGTTACATAGTAAAACCCTTATCTTTAAAAAAAAAAGAAGAAAGAAAGAAAGGGAAGAAGAAAGAAAGAAAGAAAGAAAGAAAGAAAGAAAGAAAGAAAGAACAGATAGAGTCCATGATGCAGAAAATGCATGGCAGCGGGTGCATAGGACTCTGGTTACACTGTACCCATAGTTGGGAGTCAGAGAGATTGACAAAATCTAAGATGTATTTTCTTTTTATAGTGTGTGTGTGTGTGTGTGTGTGTGTGTGTGTGTGTGTGTGTGTGTGTGTGTGTATCTTTGTGCCATAGTTCACGAGTGAAGGCCAGAGAATAACTTTTAGATTTGGTTCTATGTACCTCATAGGCTTATGCAGCAAGGGTCTTTACCCACTGGAACATCTCCCTGGCCCCATTTGGGGCCATTTTTAACTTTTTGTTTTGTGTTGTTGTTTGTTTGTCTCAAGACAGGATCTCACTATGTAGCTCTTGCTGTCCTGGAGCTTGTCATGTGACCCATGCTGCATAAGCCTGACAGCGATGTGGGAACCCATGTGAGGTGAATGAAAGACCAGATCCACAGTGCTGTCTTCTGACCTCCATACAGGGGCAGTGGCATGAGGGCATGGTCCCCTACCCCAGCATGCACATACAATAATAAATTACATTTAAATCTTACAAAGAAGCAGAAGAAAATCAGCATTTTAAGTAGCGGTAGAGCATAATAAGGTGCAATTCCTTACATTAAGACATTTTTAACTCGTGTTGCTAACACCCTGGAGTTGGGTTTCAGAGTGACACGCTGCAGGTCAGAGATAGTGACTAGTGGATTCCGTTCCTCTGGTGGTGGTGGTGAAAGCTTTAATTACAAAAGGAGACATTAATGAGACATGTTAAAATATCACTCTAATGTAAACATGCCAAAACTACCAGAGTATACATTTTCCATGATTCAATTCTTTTGAGACAAGTTTTTCTCTGTGTGTAGCTTTGGAGGCTGTCCTGGCACTCGCTCTGTAGACCAGGCTGGTCTTGAACTCACAGAGATCCGCCTGCTTCTGCCTCCCAAGTGCTGGGATTAAAGGTTTGCACCGCCACCACCTGGTCATGATTCAATTCTTTATTTCAAAGGGTCAAAGGCTCCCTCTCTCTCACTCCCTCATCTCTCTGGGGTTTTACTAGATAGAATCTCATTAGTTTGAGCAGGCTGGCATGGCACTTACTATGGTGTGACCTGGAATTAAAAAAAAAAATCCTCCTGCCTCGGTCTAAGTGCTAAGATTATTCAAGGCAAAAAAAAAAAAAAAAAAAAAAAAAAAAAAAATTACAGGTTACTACACCTATCTAGTATGTTTCTATCAATAGTATGTTTCTCAGGCAAGCCTCTTGACTTCATGAGTACCTAAGGGTGACTTTGAACTCCTAATTCTTTGTCATCACCTCCCAAGTGCTAAGATCATTCAAGTACAACATTGTGTCCATCTTAAATGTAATATATGTATGGGTGTATATGATGGATGTGTGTATACATGTTCTTATGGTCAGGGGTCAATGCCAGGCATCTTTATTATCACTCATTATCATATTGAGAAAGGGTCTTTTACTAAACCTGGAGCTCACTGATTGGTTAACTCTGTTAGCCAGTAAGTTTCCACCTCTCCTGACCTGACTGTTTCCACCTCTCCAGTGCTAGGAGTGCAGGTGGAGCTGCTTTTTTTTTTTTAACATGGGTGTGGGGCTCTAAACTTAGGCCCTCATGCTTGGATGGCAAGCACTTTACCAAATGAGCCATCTCTTCAGCCTGTTTTTTTGTTTGTTTGTTTCTTTTAAAGATTGGAGATTGAACCCCAAATACTCTGTCATTGAACTGTTTACCCAGCACCAACAGAATGACTTCTATACATAAGGTTTACCATATTTTCCCAAAGGAACAACCAGGTTAAAAATTAAGGCATGACACTGTGTTTAGGTATGATGTATTCAAGAATTTAAAGCTGGCCTGGGTTAAGTAGCAAGAAAAACATACCTGTGAGCTTGGGAGACACCATAGTAGGTGCAGTGTTTACAGTGTTAATCCCAGCCCTGAGGAGGCAGAGGCAGGTGGATCTCTGTGAGTCTGAGGCCATCCTGGTTTACTCAGTGAGGACCAGGACAGCCAGGGCTACATAAACAAATAGATAAAAATAAGGTGGAAAGCAATGGAGGAAGACACCCCATATTAACCTCTGGCCTCCATATACTAGAAAACACACAAACATAACACACACACAAAACAGCCCCTGCCCCCAAAGGAAGAAGGCCTTGTGCATACGAAGTAACATCTTACCTTTTTCCTTTCTTCAATATTCTGTGTTTTTTTTAATTTTACAGTGAGTAGATCTTTAACTGTTATATGCATGGGTCCATCTTTCTTTAATGGTTCCGTCTTAAAATACACAGAGAGGTTAGAATTAAAACTGGCATCAGGACATCTAGTGAAATCCAAATCCAAGTTTACTTTGTAAAGATTCAGAGTTGAAAGTTCACTTGTTATTGTTATTGATTTGTTTTTATTTTTTGCTTTTCCTCTGCCATTATTTTTGAAACTGGGTATTGCTATGTAGTCCTGGCTGCCTTAGTACTCCATATATAGCTTAAATGGGCCTTAAACTCATGGCAATCCTTTTGTCTCAGCTTCCAAATGCTGGGATTATAGGAATGTATCACCACACCCTTCTAAAGGTAACTCTTATTTTACTTTTTTTTTTTTTCTTTGAGACAGGGTTTCTCTGTGTAGCTTTGGAACCTATTCTTAGCACTTGCTTGGGAGGCAGAGGCCAGCCTAGTATACAGAACATGTTCCAGGACAGGCTCCAAAGCTACAGAGAAACCCTGTCTCAAAAAATAAAACAAAACAAACATTTTTATTTGGAGCTGGAGAGATGGCTCAGTGGTTAAAGAGTAATTGCAGAAGACCTGAGTTCTGCTCCCAGCACCCATGCATGACACACAACCATCTATAACCCCAGCTACAGGGGATCCAACACCTTTTTCTGACCTTTTCAGGCACTAGGCATGTGCATGGTACACAGACATACAAGCAGGCAAAACACCCATTCACATAAGATAAAATAATTTTAAAATTAAAAAAGCTACATATTTTAATGTATATTCATGTTCGGACTGCATTCTTTGTATGTGTACCAGGTGTATGTTTGGTGCTCTTGGAAGTCTACAAGAGAATGTCAAATCTCCTGGAACTAGAGTGATAGATAGTTGTGTCCTACCATACAGTCTTCTGCAAGAGCAGCTGAGTGTTCTTAACTGCTCAGCCTCTCTCCAGCTCTTCTGTACCAGAATTTTCTTTGTTATGTTTGTTTTGAGACTGGTCTCAAACGCCTAATAAATTCGCTATATAACCAAGGATGATCTTGAATTCCAGATCCTGCTACTTCTACTTCCCAAGTGCTAGGATTAGATATATGTTCTAGCCTTGGGAATAAAGCTTTCAAAAAGTACAATAATTGGAGCAAGGTTAGTGTCCTGTCTTTATGTATAATTCATATGTGTGTATATGTATATTTTGTGGTCCACAGTCCAAGCTCCTCAAAAGCTGAAACAAAAGATCGCAATTTAGAGGCTAGCCTGTGCTACATAGTGAGTTCTAGGTCAGTCAGGGCTACAAATGAAGATCAAGTCTCAGGGAACAAATAAACAAAAACTGCTAACCACAAAAGCCTAAAACAAAACAAAGGAACAACAACAAGAAAACCCCAATAATTACACTGGTGTGACATACAGCCGTAATGCCAGCTACTCAAAGGCTAAAGCAGAAGGATTGTTTGAGCCTACCAGTTCAAGGCCATCTTGGGCAACATAATGATACTATATCTAAAACCAAAATCAAGCTCCACCCCCCCAAAAAAAAACTCAGCAAAAAAATGTATAACTAAAATAAGAATAATTAACAAAATTAAGATAATAGACTCAGAACAAAATATAGCCTTCATATCTAGGCTTTTGGCTGAACTTTCAAAGACCACTTGCATTGGTCCTGTATTAGAGTCTAGCTAAAATACATCGTTACTGATCATTTCTTACCTGAAGTGCTTTAGTTGAACCAGATTTTCTGAGCAGCAATGGTGCTAGGGGTGGTGGAGGTGGAGGAAGAGGAGGGGGAGGGGGAGGAGGAGGAGGGGGAGGAGGAGGAGGAGGAGGTGGAGGATGGCTGGCTGGCTGTGGCAGTGTGGGAGGAAGTACAGTTGGGGATTCTCCATGGGTTGTTGGAGCACAGGCTGGCACGTTCGTAAGCTTATTGCTCTTGCCACATGTATGACAACAGCTTGAATAAGAGGAATTTTCTGAGATAGTCTGGAAGATAGCATATATGACAAACCAACAATAGATTAATTTGGTGGTATGTGTTTAGGTTCTTTTTTTTTTTTTTTTTTTTTTTTTTTTTTTTTTTTTGAGACATTTCACACTCTGGCTCAGGATGGCCTGGAACTTACTCAGGCTGACCTTAAACTCAAGTTAAACTGTTTGCCCAGCCATCTGGGCATTAGGATTACAGAAATGCATGACCACTGCTGTCAATAACAAATTTACTTCAATAATTCCATTGTTTATTGGGCTAGAGAGAAATTTGGCAATTACAAGTTTGCAGCTCTTGCAAAGGACTTCTGTTAGTTCCCAGAACAAATGGGGCGGCTCACAGCAGTCTAATTCCAGTTCCAGGAGACCCGATGCCCTCTTCTGGCCACCATACCCAACCACACCCAACCATCTGGCCCAACCACACCCAGGCTTTGTTTTGTTTTGTTGTTCTTGTTTCCAGCGGTGAGGATCACACTCACACACTGGAATATTATGTGTGTAATAATTTGTATGTATGTTCCTATATATGAAAGTTAGTATCATGAATATCTGTATCTATATAATCTCATAGGATACTTCTATTGACTTAATGAGCTACTTAGCTGATTAGCTATTTTCTTATGAGGATCTTGCTAATTAGCAAGTCTGGCCTTGAACTCCTAGGCTCAGGTGATCTTTTTGCTTCAGCTTCCCTAGTGAATGGGACTATAGGCACATATCCAAGGCCCAACTGAAAAAGTATCACATTACATATTTTAACTATACATGTAGCATCCTATAGAATCCTAACACCATCTCTTTCTATATCTCTATATTTAACTTATTTAATGGCTTGTTCTTTTTGTTTGGGTTTTTGAGACAGTCTCATTCTCTAGCTCAGAGTGGCCTGGAATTCACTGTGTAGTCTCTGCCAGGCAATCTTCATGCCTCAGCCATGGATTACCACACCTAAAAAAAAGTGTTGTCATTGACTGCAGGGGGATTCTCAGTGTCCTTCTGCTTTTCTGCTGCTTTCTGCTAGGCTGAGGATTGAACATAGGATATTGTACATGCTACCACTTAACTGCACCCCCAGGCTCATAAATGTTACATTTGCACACTCATCACACTTTAGTATTTATTATTTGCAAACTCTCCTTTCCCTCACATTAGGCATTGAGGAGTCCACATGGCAGGCAAATGCTTTACCATTGAACTATATCCCCAGCTAAAAGTAATTTTTGTGAGACAGGGTCTCATGTATTGAGGCTGGCCTTAAAATCCCTATGTTGTTGGGGATGACCTTACTTTCAATTTTTCATCCTTTACTTCCTAAATGCTAAGATTACAGGTGTATACCACCATGGCTGATTCATGTAGTACAGGGGTCTCCTGCATGCTAGTTGAGCACTCTACCAACTGAGCCTAACTCTTGCTACTTTTTTTTTTTTTACAGGGTTTCTCTGTGTAGTTTTGGAGTCTATACTCTTGCTACTTTCTGTTGAAAACAGAAGTTGTTTTTCCTTTTTTTTAAGATTTTATTTATTTATTATGTATATAACATTCTGCTTCCATGTATATCTGCACACCAGAAGAGGGCACCAGATCTCATAACGGATGGTTGTGAGTCACCATGTGGTTGTTGGGAATTGAACTCAGGACCTCTGGAAGAGCAGTCAGTGCTCTTAACCTCTGAGCCATCTCTCCAGCCCCACAAAAGAGTTTTTAAAAATGTATTCATTCTATGTTATATATGAATGTATGCACTGAGTGTGTAAATGCCTTCAATGTTCAGAAGAAGGCATCAGATTCCCTGGAACTAGAGTTACAGGCAGTTATGAACCATCCACCGTGGGTGGGTACTGGGAATTAAACCTGGGTAATCTGCAAGGGCAGATTACCACAGAGCCATTTCTCCACTGCCTCCAGCCCCAGCCGAAAATTTTGTAGCTACTTCCTTTACCATTCCTCATAAAAGTTATATTAATTTATGTTCTTTTCAATAATGTAAGAAAGTTTTCCAGATCTTTAGTTGTTTGTTTGTTTGCTTGTTTGTTTGTTTGCCATTCTGATTAAGTTAAAAGTTGCTCATTAAAATTGCTTTTATACTTCTATTATGTTTGTGTGGCCGAGACAATTAATTGTTCCCAATAAACATTTAAAAATAGTTTTTGATTTTAATTATGTGGTTGTGTGTATAAGTGCACACATGAGTACAGGTGCCTATGGAGGCCAGAGGGGTTAGATCTCTTGAAGTTGGAGTTACAAGAAGTTACAAGACTCCCATTGTAGGTTTGAGGAACCAAACTTGATGCTCTGCATGAGCAGTACATGCTCTTAACTGGGAGTCATCTCTCCAGAGCCCCCATTATAGTTTTGCCTTCTTCCTTTGCAAAACGAAGTCTTTCTGCCTGACATTTGAGGGAATAACCAAACCCATATCTTTTTTTCTTTTTTCTTTTTTTTCCAGGGCTGAGGACTGAACCCACTGAGCTAAATCCCCAACCCACTATTTTGTTTTGTTTTGTTTTCCAAACCCATATCTAGAGTGTTTTCCTATTATAATAATCTTTTCAGACAAAATCTCTGCATTTGTCTGTTCAGCAATACCAACCTTCAGTGTTTCTTGGAGACTGCATAATTCACTTTTCAAAGCACAAAATTGTTGTTTTAGACTGTGAAGTTCTCTGTGGTAGACTCGGGAAGGGAAGATGGCATCTTTCAATACTTCTAAACTCTGAAATTCATAAATAAACAAGCCTGAATCGAATGAGCAGCATACTAAGAAAAGTGGTGTCACATATGTCTCATATAAGCAAAGATAGGTGTAATCTCACAACGTAATCCTATTCAAGCTTAGCCACAGGCATATTTCTAAACTCAGGAACCATACAAGGACATGAATACTAATTACGGCAGAATAAAAACAAAAACTACATTGCTGAGAACAGGTTTATGAAATCTATACCTGAGCCACACAGGTCTGACAGCAACTGTACATGTACCACACTCTATTTGTCCAAAGATTTATTGCGTCTTTGATGTTAGGAAATCTGAAGTTCCAAGAGTGTTTTAGCCAGTTTCTGCTTTGGGGTGTATCAGTTGAGGAAGTAACCACTCTGTGGAAGAAACATTAAACAAAACAAATAAAAAAACTGTAGGTCTTGACTGGGCATGGTGGTGCACACTCAGAAACCAGAGGCAGAGGATGGATATAAGATCAAAGCAAGCTTGTTCTACATAGTGAGTTCCAGCCCCGTCAGAACAATATAGTAAGACCCTGTCTCAAAAAGAAAGAAAGGACGTCCTCTCTGGTTAAGAGCACTGACTGCTTTTCCAGAGGACCCAGGTTCAATTCCCAGCATCCACATGGCAGCTCACAACTGTCCATAACTCCTGTTCCAGGGGATCTAATAACCTCATAAAGACATTCATTCATGCAGGCAAAACACCAATGTACATAAAATAAATAATTTTAAAAAAGTTTAAAAAAAAAAAAAGGTGGATCTCTGCAAGTTCTAGGCCAACCAGGTCTACATGGTGAGACTCAAAAAACAAAACACTACCCCCCAACCCAATCAAACCTAGGTCAGACTAAATGCCTTTAATTAAGTAATTAGTTGGGTCTATTTTTATTTATTTATTTATTTATTTATTTATTTACTTTGGTTTTTTGAAACAGGGTTTCTCTGTGTAGCTTTGGAGCCTATCCTGGCACTCGCTCTGGAGAGCAGGCTGGCCTTAAACTCACAGAGATCCGCCTGCCTCAGCCTCCCGAGTGCTGGGATTAAAGGCGTGCACTACCAACGCCTGGCAATTATTTGGGTTTATTTATTTTAAATTAAATGAATTATTTTTTGGTGCTGGGAGTGAATCCAAGGGTACGTGCTAAGCATATATTGTAGCAATGAGCTATACCTCCTGTCACAAATAGCTAGTTTATATTATGACTCAGGACCAGGAACTGACTGATTGACTAAATGATTTTCTGTTACTTTTTTTGAGACAGGGTCTCATTCTGTTCTGACTGCCCTAGAACTGGCTATGTTGAGCAGACTTGCCGTGCAATTACACCAGTTCTCTCTCTTCTGTTTCCTGAATGCTGGGATTTCAGGTGTGTGCTAAACATAGCTTTATTTATTTTTTAGATTAAAAAAAACCCAAATTTATGTGTCCATATGCTGCATCTGTGTGACTGTGTACTGTGTGCTGTGTGCCTTCAGAGGCCAGAGATGTCTGTTAGAGTTGCAGGCAGTTGTGAGCTGGCTCATTTGAGTGCTGGGAATCAAACTGGGGTATTAAGTGCTCTTAGCCACTGAGCCAGCTCTCCAGCCTATGTATTTATTTTTTGAGGTAGGGTCTACTTGCCATTATGTCCATGTGTTGGGTATATAGGTATGAGCTACAAAGTCTAACTCTTATTTATTTATTTATTTATTTATCTATTTATCTATTTATTTATTTATTTAAGAGGGGTTAGAGTTAAGGGTATATAGCTCAGCAGTCTTTTGTTGTTGTTTGCTTTTTTGTTTGTTTGTTTGTTTTCATGTGTGACACTCAGAGTTTAATCCTTAGAATACCAAAAATAAAATAAAATAAGCTGGATGGAATGGTACATGCCAAGCAACCAGAAGAGAAATGGGAGGAGTTAAAGCAGGAGGATTTCCAAAAACAGAAAGTCAGGATGGGCTACAGTCAGGTCTCCAGAGTAGCTAGGACTGGAGACCAAAATCCTCTTTCAAACAAAACCAACAAAGAAAGATACTATCATCCCACACAGAGAAACCCTCTCTCAACAAAAAATCAAAAAAGAACCAATCATCATCAACAAAAGAAAGTAGAGAGGGAGTCAGAACAACATTAGAGTACACAAAGTGTAAGTTATTAAGAAAACTAGAACCTGGGCTGGACAATGGTGGCCAGTGCCGAGGAGGCAGAGGCAGGGAGATCTCTTTGAGGTCAAGACCAGCCTGGTCTACAAAGTGAATTCCAGGACAGCCAGAGCTACACAGAGAAACCCCATCTCAGAAGAACAAAATAAAAAAAGAAAACCAGCACTTTACAATTCCTGGAACTCAGCTGTTCTTTCAATAGTACATTTAACTTGTGGGTCTCAAGGAATAAATGACCAACCCTACTAGAACTGTGGTTTCATTCTAGTTCTATACCCCTTTCTCATTACTTAGTTGCTAGAATTATACAATTAAAATAAACTGCAAAAGAGAATATAGGTACTTTGGGTTTGAATACAACTCCTGATTCTTGTTTCATTTGAACACATTTTTGGGGGCTGGGGTTCAAGACAGGGTTTCTCTCTGTAACAGCCCTGTTGTCCTGGAACTCACTCTGTAGACCAGGCTGGCCTCAAACTCTCAGAGATCCACCTGCTTCTGCCTCTGGGATTATAAACTCAAGTAATTAGGCTTGGAGGCAAAGGCCCTTTACCTGCTGAACCTTCTTGCTGGCCCTATATACTTTTGTTTTTTTTGAGACAGGGTCTCTCTACAAATTCCTCAGTTGGCCTTAAACTCATAGAGATCTGCCTGCCATTGCCTCCTGAGTGATGCCATTTAAGATTTGTGCCACGATGCTCTGCTCTTTTTTTTTTTTTTTTTTTTTTTTTTTTTTTTTTTGAGAGAGGGTCTCACTCCATAGTCCAGGCTGGCCTGGAACTCACTATGTAGCTCAAGACAACCTTCAACTCTCATCAATTCTCCTGCCTCATCCTCCTGAGTCTTTGGGTTACTAACAGCATGAGCTACTGTGGCCAGCAATAATTTTGGTATAAGCATATCTCAAATTTTCCATGGGACATACCTAAAAATGATTTATTTGGGGGATGAAATTCAAATTTGACTGGGCGTTCTATATTATCATTGGCTGAACTGGTAACTCTACAAATATTTTTGGTCCTCTCTGTCACACCTTACCTTTCTGGCGTGGGTGGTGGAGGGGGAGGTGTTAATAGCTTAGGCTGAACTCGGGAGGCTTCTTTTTTCTTAAATAATCGTTTGGCTTTGGCTCTTAGCTTTCTTCTTCGCTGTTTGAACTTAGGCATGGTTTCTGTAGAGAAAAAATTGAAGTTAAAAAAATTATGTATATGGTGCTTTGCTGCATATGTGCCTGTCTTTGCACCATTTGCCTGCCTGGTACCTTCTGAGGCCAGAGGAGGGCATCATGTCTCCTGGAAACTGGAGTTACAGATGGCTGTGAGCTGCCATGTGGGTGCTGGGAATTGAACCTAGGTCCTCTAGAAGAGGAGCTAGTGCTCTTAACCCTCAGAGTCATTTTTTTAGTACCTGAAATATATGTTTTATTAAACAATAATATATATATATATATATATAAATATAATGTATAAGCATTCAGTGCATAGTTCAATGATATGATATAGGAACTTTATATATACCCCCATATACATCATCTTGGTTATTTTTGGTTTATTCCAATTTTTTCCCTTCTTCTCCAACCTTGGTTAAGAAATAATTGTAGTTGTGGGCATGGTGGTATGTACCTATTATCCCAGTGCTGGGGGATGGGATTTGAGGCAGAAAGACCCCTGTGAATTGGAGAATACCTTAAGGTGATTCTGTCTCCAAAACAGCTAAAAAATACCTGGGTACAGTGTACACACCTGTAATCTCACTACTTGGAAAGTAGAGGCAGGCATTCAAGGATAGCTTCAGCTACCTAGTGAGTTCAAGGGCAACCAGGGTACATGAGACTCTGTCTCAAAACACCAAAAAAAAAAAAAAAAAAAAACAAAAAAAACAAAAATCAGAGAGAAAAAAGTTAACAGCCTTCACAAGGACGAAAATGTAAACTCATATCCAAAATGTCTCAGGAGAGTCTTCCTTTGAATTTACATTAGTCTCTCACTCCGATTTTGTTGTATTCATTAAGTCAAATGAATTTTTCTTTATTCTCTGAAAACTCTCTATCCCAGCTGGAGATCAAAGCCAAGACATTGCACTTGTCTAAGCAAGTGCTCTACGACTGAGCTAACTGTCCACCTTTTTAAAATAGTCATCTTGAGACAAGATCCTATGCATCCCAGGCTGGCCTTGAAACTCCCTATACAGCAAAGAATGACTCCCGCCTCTACCTGACTGCTGGCATTATCTTGAGACTGGCAATATCAAATTGGCTTATGTAGTGTTGGAAATCCAAGCTGAGGCTTCCTGTACACCAGGAAAACTTTACCAATTGACTATAGTACTTAGAGGTTCCCTTCTTTTTAACAGGAAAATGGCTGTAAAATGGTTTGATATTAAAAAGGTAGGTTTGTGATTCAGAACATATAATGAGTATCTACTAAGATAGGCGGATGTCACAGTGGGAGGGATCATTTATAAAATGCCCCTTAAATGTAGGGTAAATTCTACTTTTACTCTGTTAATCTTTAATCTCCTCAACTGACAAGGAGGATTCTAGTCCCAGTTTTATACAAAAATAAGCTGAGGGTTAGACTAGATATCTGCTTAAAGTAATACAATAACGTATAAAAACACAGACCTGTAACTCTTCAGAGACCATGACTTTTTCTAAGACTACAGGGCAATAGTAATTTAAACAGGCTATATACAATTAGCCAAAAATCAAAGACCTGTTTTAATATTGTTATTTTGAAGCACTTAAGATATTATTTAACATATTTATGCTTTAATGTATATCCTTTTCTGAACAACAAAACAAAACAAAACAAAACAGTCTGGGTTGGTTTGATCTGAAGCTCCAAAAAGGCTTTGCTAGTTTTAGTTGCTGATCCCTGAGGAACAAAGATGTTGATATTTAAGTAGCAAACATGAAAATGGTCTGTCTCAGACTTAGATTTGAATCAGAAACATCAGCCTTTGAAATACACGTTTAAGGCCCCTCCAAGTGGTGGTACATAGGCAGGTAGATCTATGTGAGTTCAAGGCCAAACTGGTCTAATAGCTTCTTCCAGACAGCCGCAGCTATCTAGTGGGATCCTGTGTCTGATAAATTAACATCCATTCCACTTCTGTTCATTTGGTAACCTTTTGTAACTAGCTATTTGCATATACTTCCCAGCATTCAGAATATCAGAATACCTCTTTACTTCCCTTTACAGGGCATTTGTATTGGGAAGTGCCTTAGTATTAGTAGTGTAGTCCCAGAGGCTAACCCTGTGCCAAAGGGTAACAGTGAATGAAGTAAAAGCATTTTATTGGACTAAACACCAGTCAAATTTATAAGCTGCATTTTATTTGTTTATTTTGTTTTTTCGAGACAGGGTTTCTCTGTGGCTTTGGAGGCTGTCCTGCAACTAGCTCATGTAGACCTGAAGCAGGGTCTTGTCATATAACACAAGATGGCCTGGAACCCAAGATCCTCCTGCCTCAGCCTCCTAAATGCTAGGATTATAGGCACACAAAGCATACAAAAATCATGGCTGACCTCAAACTCGATGTAGCCCAGGATGACTTTGAATTCCTGATCTTTCTGCCTTCATCTTCCAAGTGTTAGGATTACAGTTGTGTGATTTCTTACCTGCCTACATTTTATTCACCTTTTTCCTCAGCCTTACAACATAGCAAGCATTACATGTTCTTTTTGTTTCTGCGTTGGTTTTTGTTTGTTTGTTTTTTTCAAGACAGTATTTGTAACAGCTCTGGCTGTCCTGGAACTTGCTTTGTAAACCATACTGGCCTCGAACTCACAGAGATCCACCTGCCTCCCAAGTGCTAAGATAAAAGGTGTGCCTCCCTAGTGCTGGGATTAAAGGCGTCCACCACCACTGCACAGATCATATCTTTATAGTTAAGGGGTGGATCAAAAAAAAAAACTTTCCAAGAATGAAGATTCAACAAATAACAGAAAACAAGAATTACATCGGCGGACCTAGCTCAGTTGGAAGAGTGCTGATCTCACATACAAGAGACCCTTACTTCAAACCCAGTGCCACGTCAGTTGTCGTGTTGGCACACAGCCCTGTAATCCCAGAACCACAGAGGTGGAAGCAGGGGATTCGGCGTTCAGGGTCATCCCTTGCTCCAGCCAATTCCTTGCCAACCTGGGTCACACAAGCCTGCCTCAGAACAATAACTCGTCTTCTGCATGAGTTGACACTGCTGCTTCTGTTAAAACTCCACCAGTTACACGGAAAGTACTCTTTGGCCGGGAACACTTCTAAAGCTGTGGCAGCAGCGGAAATGACAGTTGCCATTTCATCACCAACGTTCTAAAACACATTTTTTACACCCACATAAATCGCCTCTAGTCAACTTAATTTCCATTATCAATTCAGTTGGTTCACCTTGATTACTGCCATTTTCTTATAGTTAATTTTGTTTTATTGTGAAATATTCCGAACCCCCGGTCCTTTCTTGTGTCTTTCTCAGAGTGACCGCAGGTTTTTAGTGTCATCCAGCACATTATTGACATATAGTGAAAGGGAATGGTTTTAAAATCGATGTGGGAAGTAACTCTGCATCAAGGAACATTGTAAAACCTCACCTGTCAAAAAACATTCCTCCACAACCCTAAAAGTGCTGAAGAATCGTTGGGGAGAGCAACTGGAGAGCAAATACATATTCTTATCCAGTAAATTTGGATGAACCCCTATATTGTCAACTAGCGACCAGAGAAGCCAAAGCCGCTAGTCAGTGGGTCCACTTTGAGAAACAAATAGTAACGAAAAAGACCGAGCAAAAGACAATTGCTTCAAAACATATATTGCAGGGTGTTAAATAAAAATGTGGCTCAGATGTCGCCAGCGGAGCTGTTGTCCTGCTGCAAAGCTTTTCTTTTCTACTCCATCTCCCTCCCAGTCTAGCGCAAGACCCACCACCTTCAGGCATAAGAACCCAACCATCAACAGTCGGAGCAATGGAAGACGGGACCAGGTAACAAAGAAAGAATCGTCACTGCACTTACTAGTCTAAAAGCCTGAGTGTTAGACGAAGTTCGGGTCGGAGCCTCTTGCACACCATAAAGAAAAATTCAAAATTAAATCCTCACCAAGGAGCGACCAATCGCAGACGCGGTCTCTGCAGGGCTCGTTGTCCTGAGCGGTTCCAAGCACAGCCTGGATTACGATTGGCTGAGAGCGCATCACACCCTGGCCAATCGGAACTGAGGCGCTTCTGGTATGAATACGGGAAGGCGGGCGAGAAGGGGCGGGGAAGCCGGAGAGAAAAGAAGGTGTGTCACGTCGCCTAGGCCCGCAGTGGAAGCTCTTATGTCATTGGCTGCTGCTGCTTCCGAGTACACCAATCGTAAACTCTTTCCCAAGTATGAAATTGAAAGTGGAGAACAGTAGGCAGCCAATGGGAATGATCACAAATTCAGCAGCCAATCCGCCTACGGCGTTTTGTGTCTTTGTCCAACGGGAAAGTGTGTTTCATATGGAGGGGCGTTACCCAATCGCCAATGGGCGGGCTCCGGCGGAACGGAGGAGCCAATGAGCGCGAGATGTTGAGTGACAGCTGTCCAATAGAGACCCTCAGTGCTAGTACGGCTTGCAGCTTAAGCGCCTCCGCGGTCTGAGGAATGTCAACTATTCAACATGGAGGCGGAGGTCGATAAGCTGGAGCTGATGGTGAGTGGAGAGTGAAGGAAACCTACTGGGTGATTTGTTTGCTCCACCAAAGGCCTGGGTGGTCAGGCACCCGTTGGAGCCACCGAAACTCTGGATGGTGGAGGCTGGGATCTGAATCGAGTTCCCTCCTCCTGCATCGAAAAGGAGCCACGGCCGCTTTGGTCTCTTAACCGCCGCGGGGGAAGGGGTTACATCCGGGGAACTCGTGAGGGAAATGGCGGGAGATGTTGAGGGTGTGGGCCTTTGTAATTCCCTGCTCCTCGCTTTCCCCTCCCCCGGCTCCAGGCCGGGAGCCACTCCCGGCACAGACGCCGTCTCCTGCATTTCCACCTTTCTCCCCGGAATGTGGCTGGAACGGTCGTTAAGAGCTCCGCGGAGGAGGAGAGAGCTCCTTCACGTCTCCCCACCAGGGGCGATGGAGGATGAGGTGGGGCACAAGTCCAGGGGCGCCGAAATTCGGGTCCACTCTTCGCCTCCTCGCAGGCGAGCTGGGACGGTCTGAAGGAGGACGCCAGACTTGCACGAGAAACTTCCCCGTGGCCCCGCAGAGCC